TCTGAAATTGAGTGTTCCATTTTATTTTATTTTATTTTTTGGCCCCTATTGAAAAACGAAGAAAGAAGATAGCTTGTACAAACTTCAACCTCTCCTCTTGGTTAATAACAATGCCTGAAGTTCCATTGAAATGGTTTCTTTTACCAATATCAATATTTCAAATTTAGTAATACCTTAAATTAGTATAATAATAACACTATTTTGTAGCTTATTAAGATATTAATAAAATACTATTATGATTACATATGTACTGTGTTATATATAATACATGTATATTATCTATTTTAACACAAAACCATTTAAGTCCTCGAAGACAGGTTAACAAGAATCACTAAAGTGGCCAGAATTCATGTCCATGTATTGTTTTGAATAACTGCTTTATAATTGGATTCTGTACAATGAAAGCAGATTTCAAAGTGGAGAAACTGTAGGGACTGAGGCTGAACAAGATCGCTGATGGGGAAGACAGATCTTGGTCAGGACCGCGTTTAGACACAGGAGAGGGCAGCAGCAGCAGCAGCAGGCTGAGCACAGACATGGGGACACGCCCATCGCCCTGGCCGTGGAGTGGGCGCACAAAGAGAGCTCGCCACAGGCTTGCCTCCTCCCCAGTGGCAGGCCCTCAGTTCTTGGAAGACAAGCACTGCTTCTTTAGACTTTGTACGTTGATGACGTACAGTTTCTCATACCACAGGACCTTTTATAAGTCAGTCACCAGGTTCTTTAAACTTTTTAAAATAATTGAATTATTTAATTATATTTTACATCATTGTTCATGTTCGTACAATGCTTGCACCAGGTCACCGTGCACCATCACCACAGTCCCTTGTGCTCTTTGCTCCCTCGTTTTCATGCCTCTCCTCCTCCCCTGCAGAATGTCGTTGATTTACAACTGCCTGTTTATTTTTGTTTTGTTGTGTTGTGTTTTTTATTTTTACTATCTTTTCCCTGGCTCCTTTTTTTGGTTCCTCTATATCCCTCCTATAAGTGAAAACATCAGGTATGTTTCTTTTTTCTTTCTGGCTTATTTCACTGAGCATCATCCTGTCTAGCTCCATCGGTGTTGCTGTGAATAGCATTAGTTTATCTTTTTTGATTGCTGAATAGTATTCAATGTTGGCGAAGTTTTTAAATGTGTAATACTGCAGTAGCCTCTTAATGTACCTCCCAGCTGTAGCCTACTGTTAATGAGGTCTACTCATAAAAGAGCTAGGAGGAGAAGCTATGTTGTGCCTACAATGCCAGAATATAAATATGCTCAAAATGGTCACTCTGTAAAGCATGGCGATCTGAAAAGTCAAAAGGTATCTACTCAGTAATATAACTAACATCAGATTTAGTGTTTTAGAAAATGAAATGTTCCTAAATGCCCTAAAACTCCTCCAGACTGGAGGAAAATAACATTTTTAAGAAAGTGAAGCAGTAAAAGATTGGAATTTCCTATTAGCTTTAAATATAGGCTTGAATGACTTTACACTTGATCACGCAGGCCAAGCTGCACTAATGAGGGAAAACTTGGCTGGGGGGCACAGCTGGGGATTTAGCATCTATATTCCACAAACTGACCTGTGCTAACAATTCAGACCAAATAAATGGGCTCATTACCCTGCAGAGAAAAAGTAAATGGAAAGTTCCCACAGTTCCCCTCGTGGTTTGCACTTGCTCACTTTTTCACTTACCAAAACTTATTTCCAATTTAAGTGGTAAACAGCTTTATTACAGATAACTTGGAGGATTTATATCATCATGGATAAGTCAAAAGAAGGAAAGTCTTATTCCCAGCCTTACCACTTAGGAACAACTTTTTGCTATTTTGATATATATTTCTTTTTGTGCAATACCTTGACATAGATTTTTTTAAACTTAGTTTTTAATATTATATCATCTGCAATCATACTGCATTTTATGGCCTGCTTCCCATACTTAAAATGGTTATAGGACTCATTGCAAATTATGAAAACTTTTTTATCTTGCTGCATTGAATGGAATGCATAATAAGTCTTATAATTTTGAGTGATCTAAAATGTTTCCCTGTCATGCTGTGATGGATATCTTTGTTGACTAAGCTTTACTTGATTTTTGAACACCTACAGGGAATTTTTAAAAATTATATGATTGGGTCTAATGGCATAAACATCTAGATGACACATAACATTGAATTAAATCCTAAAGTATTATATCAATTTAGTCTCCCAGCAACAGCTTTATCTCTTTGATCTTCAGCAGTTCTAGGTGTAAAAATTTAAATATTTGATGCTCTCATAAAGATAATCATTATTTTGTTGTTTTTAATGGTATTTCTGTAATATAGTTGGACCTTTTTGTACATTAAGAAGATATGAAATTTTTACTCATACTGAATACTAAAGACTAAGTTTTTTTTATTTAAAGATTTATTTATGCTTACAGAATTGGGGTACAGGTCAGAGGTGTGGTAGGTGAGAGGACTCACCAGAGACAGAGTGGGAAGCAGACAGGCATATGTACTGAAATACACTGCTGAAGGGAGCAGTAGATGAGTCAGGAGAGGTCTGCCATGCCATATGGGTCACCTCCCTGGTGGGGGATTGAACTCGTGCTGCAATGGCTTCAGAGAGCTTCATAATGCAGTGCTTTAACACGTTGTGCCACCAGAGGAAGCCCCTACTACATTTTTCTTAATAATTTTTAAGATTTTTTAAAAAGACTCTTTTTTTCTGACAACTGCTACAACTTTCCATTGTGTAATTTATCTATATCAAAAGTGTTTTTAATTTAAAAAACTACAAACATTTTAATTTCAGGTAGTCATATGTATCAATACTTGAATTTGTGATGGTCTGACTTGCTTATTGTTTTTTTTAATTGGCATATCATAAAGTGTCATTTTTTTCTCCACACTATCCCTATATCCCCTCAGCCCATTCTCTCCTCTTATCCTCTTAATTTAGAGGCTTCACAGTATTTACTGATGTCCACTAGTTTTGTAAGCATTTTACTTTATTGAATCATCTACAGTGTTAATGGCTAGAATGGTTTCTCATTCTAACTTGCTTTACTACACATAATTCTCTCAAACATCCTCTATTTTGCTGAAATTTCTGCATTTCATCTTTCCTTATGGCTGAATAATATTCCACAGTGTGGATGTATTGCCTCTTCTCAATCCACTCATCTAGTGATGGACATTTATCCTGCTTCCACATCTTAGCTATTCTAAATAATGCTGCTATGAATATTATCAAACATTTGTTTTTGGTGCAGATGGCTTCATCTTCTTTGGATAGATACCCAAGAGTAGGACTGCTGGGTCATACAGTATTTATTTCCATTTTTAGTTTTTAAAGTAAATCTAGATTTCTTTCCATGGTGGTTTACATTTCAGAAACAGTGTAATAGTTTTCCTCTTTCTCTGCATCCTTTCCAGCATTTGTTGTGAAAGGTCTTTTTTAATTTTTTAAACAAAATTTTGTTTTTGTTTTATTTAGTTCCTCTGTTCTATATACCACATGAGTGAAATCATAGAGGATATTATGCTCACTGAAATAAGTCAGAGAACGAGAAGACAGACACAATACCACTTTTCCATCAAGGTGCTGAAAAAAAAAATATCTGAGATGAATGATACAAACAATCTGATAATTAAATTCCTTGAGGATGGGGCAAATGTTATACCTTTTCTTCCCATCATCTTGGCTAAACACACATTTGGTGGTTAAGCATTTTGTCTGAATCTGACAGACCCTCTTTCTCATGATATTTATTAGTTGAGTAAACATGGGCACTAAAACAGAGACACTGATGTTATATACAAATTCAATGAGAGTATTTTATTACTTAGGGAAGGGTTAAACAGTAAATATAGGAATTATGATATAGGGATAAAATAGTAATAAAAAGGAAGAATGAAAATCAAGGAGGAAAAGACTATAGGACTTTATAATTTGATTGTTTACATGAGCACAATAAGTTGTGTGGGTGGGAGAAAAAATCAACAGGAGCATATATGTGTAAGGTATATGCCATGTACCTATCCTGAGGCGTGATATCTCCTGAACTTCAAACTGCCATTATTCTTACAACTTTGCTGTTGCTGCTGTGACTGCTACTATTACTTCCTTGCCATATACATGTTCCTCAAACAGCAGCCAGATCCTCCTTAGGCTTGTTATTGCCTGTAATTTATCTTCTAGAAACCCTTGTGTGGTTTTCCAAGTAGCTTGGTAAAAGCTAAGTATTTACAATGGGATATGACATGCCCAGTACACACTCTGTTTCCACCACCCCAGCCCTGCCCCTGCACATTTCTCCAGCGTTATTTCTTACCATTCTCTGTACTTATTTTACTCCAGGTATACTGGTCTGCTGGCTGTTCTACAGAGCATCACAGTATGCTCCCACCTTAGGGATCTGCCATCAATTGCCTGAAATATTCTCCCAGACACCTACATACCCTAGTCATTTGGTTAATTCAGGTCACCACTAAAATGTCACATTTCCAAAGAGGCCTTCTCTAATCATCTAACTTCAAATAATAACAACCCACAAACACTCCCTAAAACCCCTACTCTTCTTTTGCTCCAAGACACTCATTGTGCTGACAGTTATATGTTTGTTGTCTGTCCCCCCTCACTAGGGTAAGCTCCACATGGGCAGGGAGTGTTTATAAGTACTGTTAAGTCCCTGGCACCAAAAACAGTGTCTGGCACAGAATCAGCATTAAATGTTTGTTAAATTGTGTTTTCACCAGGGTTTTAAGATACTTCCTTCTAGTGTTCATATGGGAGAAAGCTGAACAGGGACTTCAGTAATAGAAAGCGTTCCACTACTAAAATTACAGGAAGCAGTTAATAGGAGTTTGAGGAAAGCACAGTACCACATAGAATAATAAGCATCTAATAGAGTTTTACATAAATCTGTCCATTTTTCTAAACATTAGCATTAAAAAGCACAGACAGATATACATATGATCTCAAGCCCCTGTCCAAAAACAAACAAACAAACAAACAAACAAAACTGACCTCTGTTCATTCTTAGATAACCAGATGTCTCAAGAATAATAAAGATTTTCTTGAGTGTCCCCCCATAACAGCTTTTCATTTCTTGAACTACTTTCCTTTTCAAAGAGGTAATGCTGAGATCAAAGAGGCTATCTGAGAAGACTAGCATGGACTTCTTGGTCTGCTCCAGTGGATTCAAAATAAATTGGCTTGTATCAGTGAAGTACTCAATGCAGTGCACAAACTAGTCCTCAGCCCACTCATTGTTCACCTCAGGGCCAGACTTGTCATGCTCTTCTCCCGGTCAAGTTCAGTCATCTGGGGCACCAGCTTCTGGAAATGCTGCTTCTCGATGAAATGCTGCAGCTGCAGCTCCACTGAGGCCAAAACCACTGTGGAGGAAGATGAGGAGGGATCCAGCCAAGAACAATGACACCTGCAGGGATATACTCTGTGCCAATTCCCTGATCTTCATTATGGTTTTAATTTGCATTTTGGAAACAATGATGAACATCCTTGGGATGTTGAATTATTCATATCTGCTGTCCATATATTAACTGGGTTTTTTAATTGTTGAGTTATCGTTTTTTATTTATCTTGGATATATATATATTATGTGAATATTTCCCCCCATTTAACAGGATATCCTTTTAATCTTCTTGGCTTTTCTTTCATTGCATAAAAGCTTTTAAACTTGAAGTAAAGCCGACTGCTTGGTATTTTATTTGGTTTTGTTTTTGTTTTGCTTTTCTTTCCCTTGCCTTATTGATGGAGTCATCAAAAATATGACTTGAGGACCCTCCCTGGTGATGTAGTGGATTGGAGTGCTGCACTGCAGAACTAAGCCAAGCCATGGCCACTTCAGTGCAAGTTTGATACCGTGTCCTGGAGGTGACCCACATGGTGCAGCAGACCTCTCCTGTCTCGCCCTTTGCTCCCCTTAGCAGTGTAGTTCGTGGATCTGCCTGTTCTGCTCCCCACTCTGTTTCTGGTGAATCCTCTCACCACCACTAAACCTCTGGCCTGTACCCCATTTCTGTATGCATAAATAAATAAAATCTTTTAAAATATATGATTTGATGTATTGGAATGTATCACCAATGTTTTCTTCTATATATTTTATTATTGTATATCTTATATCTAAATCTTTAATCTATTTGGGATTTGTTTTGTGCATGGAGCTAGAGAGAGAGATCCAACCTTATTCTTTCATTTGTGACAATCCAATTCTCTAGGACCACTTCTTGGAAAAGATGACCCTTTCTCTATTGTATGGTCATAGATGAGGTACCAATAAATATGTAGATTTATCTTGGGCTTTTGGTTCTATTCCATTGACCCATGTATCCTCTGAGTAGTCCTTATCTCTAACATCTCTATCTTTAAAGGTCTATATATTTAATCATGAAAGAAAATGTTACTAAGGTGTAAAACAGGTAGTTGTCCTGTGTTGAAATCAAATAATAATGCAACTTACAACTTCAACCCTAAATATTTTTATGAATATATTTTGAATCAGTTGAGTAGCATTTAACCAATATCTGTAACATGAATAATGGTACATACTCATAGAAAGAGCAAATACTGATCAAGTGCTTGTGTCAGGCAATATTTCATATACTAATCCTCATTATGACCCTGTGAAGAATAGGCATCATTATTTGCATTTTGTGAAAGAGGAAACTAAGGGAAGAATTAGTTTCAACAAAGTGCCCAAAGTCAAACAATTAATAAATAGCAGATATAGGCATGATTCAAGCTGGGTTATAAAGCTCCTAACGTTCCGTTTTTCATGATCATGATGTACTGTTTGATAAAGCTGCCCTGCCATAAGTACAAACAATAATATAGCTAAGGACATTACTATTGAAATCTTTGTTACAAAATAAATAAGAAATTAAACAAAAGTATGATGAAAGCTATGACTTAGGAAGCACCAGCTCCGCTGCTAGTCTTAGAAAGTATTGCATGCAGAAAACCCTCCAAAACAAAACTCCAGCAAACTCAGTAACCCAAAAATCAAAACATTAAACAAAAACAACTTGTTCCCTCTTGTTCTCTGTTACTTTCAACCCAAAGACACATCACTTGTCTAATGATAATGTATTGTACAGAATGCAAGCACCTTAGAATTAAGCCAACTAGTTCTAATTGTTTAGTTCCCAGGTACAGCAAAAATTCCTTGTACAATAGTAATTCACCCCTCGCTGGAACACCCACAATGACCAATTAGTAAGAGAAATTTGTAGTGGGGGTTGTTTTCTTAAAGAAATTTTCCTATTTGCAAAGTCTTTGATTTTGTCACATTCTTTATGTCAGTGTTGATCATGATTCAGGATCTGGAATTCAATGGGGATGGAGATAATATGCTGCATTTTCTGGCAACTTACTTTGTAGTACAATTTTTTAGCTAGAATTTTGCATGCAATAACAGTGTCCATTAACAGTACACTACTTTTTTTTTTCTTACCAATCACATACAAGTTCCATAAATTGTTTTAAAAGCAATCAGCTAAGTACTTTAGACCTAAATTGGGAAGAATCCAAACACCATCCGCAATGTGTAGGTACAATATGGTCTGTTCACTGTGACAGATACACAATCCAGAGAAAACACAAGTGGCAACTATGAGGATGAATCCCATAGACATTGAGTATTGAGTAAAAGCTGCCCTACAACAAAGAGAACACACAATTTCACTTCTAATTATATAAATCAAATTTTATTATATAAATCAAAATTTATATAATTATATAAATCAAATAATTATAATTTATATAATTACATAACTATATAATCTGTGTAATTATATAAATCAAATAATTAATTTCACTTATAATTATATAAATCACATTTTATTATATAATTCAAAATTTATATAACTATATAAATCAAATCATGCGAAACTGATTTCAACCTGATCACTGCTGTTAGAAGTCATAGCATCATTGGGTTTGGGAAAAGTCAATGGGAAAGAAGTGAGGGAGCTTCTAGGGGCTAGAAAGTTTTCTTAATCTGAAAACTGGTTTCCCAAGTGTGCTTACTCTGAAAATTCATTGAAGTAAACACTCGAGCATTCTGTACTTCTCTGTATGTATATTATACTTCGATCAAAAGTACAAAAAATGAAAACCATTATTAGGAAAGTCAAGGGAAAAGCCCACAAGATGTAAGAATATGTGTAAGATAATGGAAAAAATCCAGTTCATATTGTGGTGTGCATATAAACATTTAGTTCAGAAAATGGACTGGGAAAGAGCCTAAACATTACCATTAATAAACATAGCCCTGGAAAAAAATAGCCCAATTTCCATAATGGGAAAAGTCACTGGCAGAACCCTGTGACATAAATAAATGAACAAGGGCAGTCACATTAGGCCGTCTTTAAGATCTAAGAAGCACACTGCTGAGCAGCCTTCACAGTGGGTATCTCACGGGCTTGGGCCTTTTCTCCCTTTGGGAAAGGTCTCTCTGGCTAGAGCCCGAGGCTTTTTAATTTAAGAACTGCTGACTTGGCAGCTCTGTTTCTTAATATAAAAGCACTGCTTTATTTTCTTTGCATTTTATTTAAATGGAGTAGTGCAATGGCAAGCATGTTTGTTTTTAGGAAATAAGTTCTCCTTCAGCAGAAAATCCTTTGGGGATGAGGGGTAATATTTGAGACAGAAAAACCTTCCTATAATCATATGGATTTGTGCTGAATAGTCAATATTTTGATATACATATATTCTCATGTATTCAGCTTCCTCGATGATCATTCTCTGCCCTCCTCTTTTCTAGTTGTCTTTTAAGACCCAACTCAAAAGCCACTTCCTCCATGAAGTCTTCCAGAAGGCCTCCAGAATTTACTGCTTCCTCACCAGTCCTTATATCCCCAGCACCATCTTAGATGCAGCTGCTCTCTCCAGCTTCTTGTCTTTGATGTCTCTGATAGCACAAATGACTCAAGGATCCTGACACCATTTTTTGTACTATTCTATTGGAATTCAATGAGGATGAAGATAGATGCTGCATGAGTCTTGGGCGTGCTTACTTTAGAAATTAAAGGGGCCCATTCTCTTTTTAGAAAAAGGTAAATACATACAGCTTTGCACAGATAAAGTTTTAAATAAACTCATTATGTATAAGCAGTGTTACAAATACATGCATACATACTTATTTATGCTGACCTTAATAAAGAAGATCCTGTTACTATCACTAACTCTGATGGATTACCTAGCTTAAATTTTGGCAACAACGAATTTAAAAGTGATACCATTTTCCCTTTCTTAGTTTCCTTTAAATTATGAACATTTGTAGAAAAAATATATCCAACCACGCGACTTGACAAGGCATTGACTGTCCTTCCAACCACTGACATTATTCCCCAAAAGGTTGTTATCCCCCAGCTTCTTATCTATATGAGATTATTGAACCAGTTAAAATCGCTTGTTATAATGATTTCTATTCCACACACTGAGACTTAAAAAGAGATAATAAACTGCAAATAAGACAATCTCTGGTTTTCCTACTTGGTCCTCACTTGGTCCAGGAAAGTCAGGCTTCCCATGGAGGAGACATGAGCTGGTCTCCAGAATTAGGTGGGGGCAGCTCAAGCATTGAGCTATGCACAGTCATCATTGCTAAAGGCTCATCAGGAAATGAAGGGGTTGGGGGTAGAAGCCCGAGATGACCTTGCTTGGGTCTTGGGCTTGGAGTTTCATGAGTCTCATTTCTTCTCTAAGATGTGGCCACTTTTTCTGCTGCCTGAATTTCTAGCTTTGTATAAGCAATTGCTAAGAAAACAGCCAATATCACTTTAGAAGCATTAAAATGAGAGCCCCGAGAAATGAAGATTGGTGTAGTATCTCACGCTGTACTGCCATGTCTTCTAAAAAAGAGAAGAGCTAATTGAAGTTTCTCATGTGCTTATCTGAGCATTTACAAAGCAAAGCTGCATACTGACTCCATTATGTGATTCCTCTGAGCTGTTACAGAGTTCTTTATTAATACAAACGGGCGATGATCGATAGAGTCTGAGCTGCCTTACAGAAAGCTTTAATCATCTCAGAGATATTTCGTAACTTATTCAAGAATTATGCAAAGTATAAAAGGGTTTAATTCCCTTTTTACACTTTTGCCATTGGTTTAGAGTAAATGCTAAGATAAGTTTGATTGTTCTTGAGGATTACTAGTTCCAGTGAATGATGTGATTCGCTAGTAATTGATAAAGGGTCCACATTTTTATCATTTACTGTGTGCCTGGAGCTTTATGTACCCTATTTATAATTTATATGGCAATTCTGCAATATAAATATTACTGCCACTACACACCTCATTTTTCAGATTCTGAAACCAAGGTTCATAGAAGTTAAGTGACTAGCCCAAGGTTACATAGGTAAGTGTTAGAGCTGGGATTCTTGCCAAGCTCTGCCTTGTTCCAAAGCCCAGGCAAC